ATGATGATGATGTTTTTTTTTCTTGCAACCATCATCATCATCATCATCATTGTTGTTATTGTTGTAGTCGTTAATGTTGATAATGATGATGATGTTGTTTTTCAAATGTTAAAAACCAAGGATATATATGTGTGATTAATGTTGTTGTTGTTGTTGTTAAGGGTGAATAGAGACACAAACAGACCGACCGACTAACTTACTGACTGACTGACTGGCTGATTGAATTGTTTTTGTTTTTGGAGAAAAAAAAACAAGGTATAATATTCAATAATTAATTTTGAAAAAAATTGAAAAAGTCAAAATATGAATGTTTGTTTACATTTGTTCGTATTTATCCTTCGAAAAAATCAAAAACAAAATAAAATGACCTTCTGTTGTCGTTGTTGTTGCTCTGTTTTGTTTTTCAAATAAACATTATGTGAAGGTAATATTAAGGAATAGGAAGCGATAAAACTTGTTGTTGTTGTTTGACGAAAAAAAAAGTAAATAAATATTGCCTGTATATTTGTCAAGGCGTTGACCACCATCATTTTTTTTGGTCAATTTCATTATCATTATTTGGGTTTTTTCCCAGAGAAAAATAGCGAGAAGAAAGATACAAAGTTTTTTTTCTCGCTAGTCAATAAAGAATGATCGAGAAATTTTTGGCTCAAAAATAAATAGAAACAAAAAAAACCATCATGTGATTTAGGGTTTGTAAATAGAGATTTTGAAAAACTTACTTACTGTTATTTATCAATCACTTTTGACCATCATTTTTTCATCATGAAAAAAAACGAAGAAGATATCAAAATGGACAACAACAAATGATAAAACAAGGCACTCTCGATTCAACAACAAAAAAAAAATATTGCACTTTTGTTTTAGCGAATAAAAAAAAATTGAATGAATTTCGATTGTGGTTTAGTTTTTTTTGTTTGTTTGTTTTAAAATTCAATTCGGATTACGTTGTGATCGGATGATCAAATGACAAATCAACAACAACAACAACAATAAGAAAAAACAAAACAAAATCCAAAAAGATTTTACATCACAAAAAAAACAATACGCACACAAAAGATGCACAAGATTCTAATATTTTGTTTGTTTGTTTGTTTGGAAAAAATAAATATTAGAAGAAAAACAAAACAAAACAAATGCTCATGACTCTTAAGTTTGTCATCATTGATCGAAGAGTCATTGCATTGAATCTTTAAATCTTCATTTAGAGATGGATTGGATTGGATTGGATATTGAATGGATGCAACAATTTTCGAGTGGACTCAGACATCGATCGAATGCATAAACGAAAACATAAACAAAAACAAGCTACAGTGTGTGTGCGTTTGAGTGTTATATAGAACCGACGATTACGTAGATTACCTTGATTTCATGAATTCATTTTTTTTCACACATAAAGATATATTCCTTTTAGACGTTGTTTTTTTGTTCAATTCTTTTGTAAAAAATTTATTCAATGACTTGTGATTTGAAAAACAAAAATGTCAACCCAATTTATATAACACGCACGCATCTTTTTTTCATTTCTTTTTCTTTTATTTCGTGAAAATACGGTAAATCCGAAACTAAAAATACAAAAACATTCGAATGCTAGCAGTATTGTTAACAGTTGTTATTGCTACTACCATATCAATGCTGCTACTTTCCAATACTTTTTTTGGATTTTATTTGTATCAATTTTTTTTTTTGAAACCGCGATTTTTATTTTTATTTTTTGAAATGACAAAAAAAAACATTCAAATTTTTTAATGATAATGGAATTATTGATTATGGGAAAAAAATTAATGATGAAAACGTTTATTTTTTTTCCTTAACGAATCAAATTTTAAGAAGAGAAGAAAAATAAAAGTTATAAATCGTTTTCATTAAATATCGATATCGATTATAAATTATTAATATTTTGTTTTTTTTGATAAAAACAAAAACAACATTATTATTATTATTGATGACAAACAAACAAAACTTTTTATTTTTATTTTTTTGTTATAAATGGAATTTATCAGACATTTCACATAATCATAATGATGATAATGAATGTGAAAAAAATAAAGTTTCTTTTTTTTGAGAAAAATATTTTTCAAAAATTATCATATTGAAGGGAAAGAATATTCGATTCTATTTCGACCTAAACATATCAAATTTGTTTGTTTTCATCCGGATTGAAGCTCAAAACTCTTTATAAAAAAATGTTTGATAAAATCATTCGAATCAAAAGAAAATTTATTGAAAATTTTTCATTCAATAAAATTTATTTTTTGATTAATGCACCATTTTTAAAAGCAGTACCACCAATTCATCAACAACAATTATCTGATTTTCCGATAATTATTCATCGAATAACTAAATCAATAATTCAAAAATATTATCAACAACAACTATTTCAACTAAAATTGTTTAAACGTGATCAAAAAATTTTCCTATTAATTCCAATTTTGATATTTATTTTATCCATAACACGATCTTTGATCGTATTGATCGTTAATGATGATAGTTATTGGCGTACATGGTTAGTATCAATGTTTCATTTATTGAATTTAAATCGTCGACAACCTGAAATGGTTGGCTTACATATTGTTATCGAAAATTTTTGCCTATTAATTTGGTTATTATTATTAAACAAAAATATCTGTCTTTTTCGTATAATTCTTACATATTGTCATCAGATTTATGATCCTTGTTTGAATAGTGATGAAAATTTTCAACGATTAAAATGTTTATTTTATAATAATAATAATAATAATCAAAATGTTTATTCAAAATCCAAATTATTAATGGAAATTGATTATAAATCAATAAGATTTTTGGCCAAACTATTTAAATGGCATTATCATAGTCATTGTTTTCTTGAAATAATATCACCAACAATGGTATTAATATTAACAATCATAATAATTTTATCATTCGATCCATGTTTGAATAATTTTCATCTATTCAATTATTCATATTTATTATATAAATTACATGTTGTAATTTTCGCCATATTTTTATCCATTTGGAATTATTGGGGATTATTATTCGCTTCGCAACCACATCTTTATCTAATATTCATATGTTTTATAATGGAATTTAAACATCGACAAAATAAAAAATCATTTCATCATTCATTTATTCGATCGAATTCAATCAAATCATTATATGATCATCGTAAACAACAATCAAATCTTTTCAATGAAATTGATTTAATCAATAGATATTTTTGTTATTATATTTCATATCTATTTCTTATTTATACATCTTTATTTTGTCAATTATTATATGTAACATGGAAATCACCAATATTTTCATCAAGTTGGTTATTTTTTGGTGGCCTTTCATTATATCCGGTATTTGTTGTACTGTCACTTTGTTTGGTAATCGCCCGGTTGTTTCAGAAAATATTTGATCATCATAAATATTATTATTCATTAATGGGTCGAACAAATTTACAAATAAATTATCGAAATAAATTACGTTTAATGACTACGGTAACATTGATTGAAAGTCGTACGGTTGGTTTTTCATTCTTAGATCAAACCTATATACAATATGGTACATTATTAACAATTATTTATATAACGGCAACATTATTCTTTCAAATTATTAAAGTAATGCAGTTATTGAAAAATTGAAATTGTCAAAACCGTAAAAAATGAAGCAAAAAAATTGATTAATCGATTCTAATCGTACACTTTATTTCGCCTAATTAAAGTAACTTGTGATTCACAAAATGAAAATCAATTTTGACATTCGAAGAAAAAAAAATTCGTGGAACAAAATGAATTATGGATCTTCCATTTTGTTGTTTTCACATTTTTCATTCATTCATTCATCAAGTGAACAACAAAACAGAAAACAAAATCTTAAAAAATGTCATCGTTTGAAATCATAAAAAAATGGTTCGATTGGTTAAAGAGAAAATCCGATCCATCTAATATTGAAATCAATAGAATTTATAAATTTTTAAATCAAAGATTTTTCAAAGCAATCAAACCAATTGAAATACCATTAAATCGACCAATCAATCGATTAACCAAAACAAATTTAAATGAATATTTAAAAACAATTCGACAACAACCAATACAAAATGAACAGATAATTTTTACTGTTTTACCATTGTTCATATTCAGTATATTTATTGTACGAACAATTATTGCATTGATTATCGATGATAATAGTGTTTGGTGTACATGGATAGGATCATTATTCAAGCTTATCGGTTTAAAACGTCAACCACCAGAAATTGTCGGTTTACATTATGTACTTGAACATATTTATTATTGTTGTCGTCTGTTTGGTTCGTTGGAAAATCAAATTTTTTTCCGTTTAATGATGTCTTATTGTCAACAAATTTATAATCCTTGTTTAAATATTAATGAAAATTATAATCGTTTACGATTATTTATTCAAAATAATCATCATAATGATCAAAATCATTTACAAATGGAAATGGATCCAGAATCATTATCATTTTTATCAAAATTATTAAAATGGTTATATAGTATACAATGTTTAATTGAAATAATATCACCAATATCAATATTATTATTGGGTATATTAACATATTCAATGATTGATCCGAATGAAAATAATTTTCATCTATTTTATTATTCATATTTTCTTTATAATATACATTTATATAGTATATTAATATTTGTTGCCTATTGGAATCATTTAGGTTTAGCATATGCATCACAATATTATCTATATCTAATTATTGTTTGTATTATTATGGAATTTAAAAATCGTTTTAATCAAAAACAATTGAAAATTGCAACAAAAAAATATGATCAAATGAATTTGATTAGAAATTTAATGAAAAATCGTAAACAACAATCAAATTTTTTTACAGAAATTAATCTTATGAATAGATATTTTAGTCATTATATTAGCTACCTGTTTCTTATTTATACATCATTATTTTGTCAATTATTATTTGTTACATTAAAATCAACAATATTTTCAACAAATTGGTTATTTTTTGGTATACTATCATTATATCCTGCATTTGTTGTTTTATCACTTTGTTTCGTAATCGCTCGATTGTTTCAACAAATTTTCGATTGTCATAAATATTATCATTCATTAATGAGCCGTTATCAATTTCGTATTAATTACCGAAATAAATTACGTTTAATAACGACAATAAATTTAATTGAAAGTCGTTCAATTGGATTTTCATTTTTAGATCAAACATATATTCAATATGGTACAATTGTAACTATTATTTATTTTACAGCAACACTTTTTCTTAAAATTTATGATGTAATGTAACAAAAGAAGAATATAAATCGTTATATGAAAAAAAATATTGATCTTTTCACTTTTTCAAAAAAATGGTTCATCACGATATTCCTCAATGAATTTCATGTGAATTTTTTTTGGATTTCTTTCATGATGAACCATGAAAAAAACCCCAGTTCTAATGAAATGTAAAATTTCAATTGAAATCATAAATCATTAAATTATTTTGTTCTTTTTTGTTCTGTCAAAAATAAATTTCTGTTGCTTTTTATTAAATATCGTCACAGTCTTGACTAGCGTTTTTTTCTGCAAAAAAAAGAATAAAAAAATGTCTTTTGAAATCATTAAAAAATGGTTTGATTGTTTGATGAAAAAATCCAATCCTTTAACATGGGAAATCCATCGAATTCATCAATTTTTTAATCAACCATTTTTCAAAGCAGTACGACCAATTGAATTGAAACAACCAATGAATCGATTAACCAAAACCGAATTGGCCAGACATTTAAATTCCAACAATGATCAATCGATAAAAAATAATGAACAGATAATTTTTACATTACTTCCGATCATTATTTTCGGTATATTTATTTTACGATCCATTATTGTTTTGATTGTTGATGATAATAGTGAATGGTGTACATGGTTAGGATCAATATTTCATCTGGTTCAATTAAAACGATTACCACCTGAAATTGCTTGTCTTCATTTTGTTATCGAACATTTATATTATTGTGGTTGGTTATTTTTATCGAAAAAAAATCATTATTTTTTTCGTTTAATGATATCATATTGTCAACAAATTTATAATCCATTCGAATGTAATGAAAAAAATCAAAAAAATTTAAAAAAATTACAACAAAATCATAATAATCATCATTTCATGGATATTGATTATAAATCAATGAATATTCTGATTAAAATGATTAAACTATTATTTATAATACAAAATCTATTCATTTTAACTGCATTGTTTGGAAATTTATTATCACTTATTGGAACATTATTTCCAATCAATCCATATCGTAATAATTTTCATCTTTTCCATTATTCATATCTATTTTATTATTTACATTTAATTTGTTTTATAATCATATTTATTATTTGGAATTATTGGGGTTCATTATATGCATCAAATTTATATGTACATTTTGCTATGATTGTTATGATTTTTAATTTTAAACTTTATACAAATATTAAACAATTGATTCGAATGAAATCCCGATCAAAAATCATTAGAAATTCGGATAAATTTATCAATCATTTCCAGCGACAATCAAATTTATTTACCGAAATACGTTTATCAAATGATTATTTTCGTTATTATTTAAGCTATTTATTTATTATTTATTTATCATTATTTAGTCATCTTTTATTTGTTACATTGAATACATCATCACTTTCAACATCAATATTTTTCATTTTAGTTTGTATTTATCCGGCTGTTATTGTTTTATCATTATGTTTAGCTGTTTCAAGATTATTTCAAAAAATATTTAATTGTTATAAATATTATCAAAATATTCTGGCTATTTATCAATCCAAAATATTATTATTTCAATATAAATTAAAAATACTTTCAACATTAGATTTGATTGAGCATCAAACAATTGGTTTTTCATTTATCGATTCTACTTATATTCAATATAATACTATAATTAGTATTATATTTATAACTACAACATTATTTTTACAAATTATGAATGTTATGTGAAATTTTTTAATATAATTTTTTATTATTATCATAAAATTTCCTTTTACTGATGAAATGTAAATATTGATGGACAAAATAAACAGAGATCATTATTATTAAAAAAAAAATTTTTGCATGTGAATTATGAAAAAATGAAAATCATTTTTCTTGCTAAAAGGAAAAAAAATCTATGTCATTGATAAGTTTGTTTGTTTTATTTTTGATTAAAGTGTGAAATTTTTTTCTTTTCTTTTTAAATTTTAAACTTTAATAATCGCTTCTCCATAGTTTAATTGTTTTATCATTTTCCAATGATGCTGATGCAATAATATTTTCGGATGGATGACATGCAGTACAAAGTACAACATCATTATGGCCAGCTAATTTTTGTACAATTTCTTTTGTTTGTAAATTCCAAATATAAACCATATTATCTTCTGAACCGGATACAATCCACTAAGGAAAAAATCAAGAATAAAAATGAATTTCTGAAGAAAATTTCGAAAAAACAACAAACCTTGCCACCAGTAACGGAAAAATTTGCAAAAATACAATATTTTTCATTCTTATGTCCTGTATAAGTTTTCAAACACTTTGAAAAAAATGATAAATATTTTTTGGTAGAAAAAAATTCATAACACTAACCTTTCCTTTTGAATAATCCCATAATTTCAATGTATTATCCAATGTTGCAGCCAAAATATATTTACCATTTGGTGAAAATTTTACAAATGAAACAGGTGGATTATCATCATCGATTAATGTTTTTAAACATTGTCCTGAACTAGTATCCCAAATACGACAAAGTCCATCATATGAACTTGATGCAATTAATGTACCATCACGATTAAAATGAACAGCCGATACAGGATCCGAATGTGCTGGTAATGTTTTCAAACATTTTCCAGTTTTAACATCCCAAATACGAACTGATTCATCAAACTTTATTGACCAAAAGAAACAAAAAATTATTCAAAATAATAAACATTATCAAAAATATTACATACCGATCCAGATACAATAAGATTGGATTGAGGATTAAAATTGGCGCAAAAAACATAATTACTATGTCCTTTCAATGTTTTCAAACATTTTCCCTATTCGAATGAAATTGAAATCAGAAAAAAAACTCTTTTTCTCAACAAAAACTTACAGTAGCATTTTCCCATATTTTCAATGTTTTATCATCGGATGCCGAAATAAGTAAACGTGAATCCGAACTCCATGAAACATCATTGACACCTAATTTATGACCGACAATTGTTTTTTCGAATTTACCATCGCTAACATTCCATATTTTGATCATTTTATCTGCCGAACTTGATGCAAGCCAATCACCATTATGAGAAAATTTTACCGATGATACAGCCTTATTATGACCGGATAATGTTATAATACAACGATAATTTGGTTTACGATCACGTTCACTTGATGATGATGTTGATTGGCGACTTTGTGATTGTCCATGATGATGTGAAGATGAATGTGATGAAGATTGTGATGTATTGTGAGATTGTGGTGGTCCACCTTGTGACATTTGTCCACCACCAGAACGATGATTACCAAAATTTCCCATTCCAGGTGGTGGTCCATGTGACTGCATTCCAGGAATACTACCAGGATGTCCAGGCGGTGGTCCAGGACCAAGAGGGTGTGGAGGCATTTCGCCCATACCTGGTGGTAACAATCCAGGTAAACCTGGACCGAGCGGGCCACCACCACCGCCCATCATCATATTAGCTGTTGGAAAAATTTTGACTAATAAAATAATAACAAAATTAAACAATATGATGACTTATGAATTCAATAAATTTACCGGATTTATTATAACACTTTTTATCATAAAAAAAATATTCCAAACAATCGCAAATAAGAATAGCCGTTTATCAAACAAAACGATAGACAATGGACAATTGAACCCTAAAAACATTCATGTAGAATAAGTTGAATCGATGATGATTATGGACCTTTCATTAACAATCATACTCAACTCAAACAATGGTTTAGGCTTTTTACTTCGGCAAAGCACTTGAAATTTGTGATATTAGGGTAAATTGAATTGATAAGAATCGTTCAAAAACAATGTATTCCAAGAATACACGTGTTTGAATCTGTTATTATTATTATTTGAATTTTGTTTTCATTTTTTTGAAAAATTTAATTAATTTAATCAATCAATTGTGTCATGGGATTTCGTGGCGGTGGAAGAGGTGGTGGTGGCGGTGGCTTTAATAGAGGAAGAGGTGGTGGTGGTGGTGGATTTGGTCGAGGCGGCAACCGTGGTGGAGGAAGATTTGGTGGCCGTGGTCAAGATGATGGCCCGCCAGAACAAGTTGTCGAATTTGGCCATTATACTCATCCTTGTCTAAATCAATTGGTCATCAAATCTGATATAGAAGATGTTCCATTTTTCAACGCACCAATATACACTCAAGATAAACATCGTATTGGAAAAGTTGATGAAATTTTTGGCTCGATAAAAAATTATTATGTTTCCGTGGAATTGATGGAAAATTTTTTTGCCAATTCGTTTAAAGTTGATTCCAAATTTTATATTGATCCTCAAAAATTATTGCCATTAAGTCGTTTTTTGGGTCCACCTGGTGGTGGTGGTAAAAGAGGCGGATCAAGTAGAGGTGGTGGCCGTGGAGGAGGACGTGGTGGCGGAAATCGAGGCGGTAGTTTTGGGGGACGAGGAGGTGGTGGACGTGGCGGCAGTTTCGGTAATCGTGGTGGTGGCCGAGGCGGTAGTTTTGGAGGACGAGGTGGTGGACGTGGTGGAAGTTTTAGCGGAGGAAATCGAGGACGTGGTGGCGGTGGTTTTCGTGGCGGATTTCGTGGTGGAAAACGTTAGTTGATAAATAATAAAATCATTCAACATTTCAAAACATCATTTTTTTAATTTTTATTTCATAAAATACATCCAATAAATGTTATTTCAAACTGAGAAAAATGCTTTAAATAAATGTCAAATTTTATTTTTATGCAATTTTCAAGATCGAAGTAAAAAAAAATTTTACATTTTTTCTTGAAAATAGTTCATAACAAAATCCACTATTGTTTTGATAAGAGATTTTACCATTTCAGCCATTTCTTCGGACATATTACGGGTCACTTTATCCGTTATTTTTTCGACCACTTTATTCGAAACTTTTTTGGAAACTGGTTTGACTACTGTTGAAACCACTTTATCACCAATATCCGATATGGATGGTATGGATGGTATGGATGGTAAGGATGGCATCACGTATGGTAACATTTCTGGTACTGCTGGTAAAAGTTCTGGTATTCGTGAAATGTCAACATTGGTAAATGGAATATTCATTCCATTTACAAAATGATTATTATTATCATCAAAAGCCATTATAACGATAATTATTACAAATGTATAATTTATCAATGTACAGAATGATGCCATTTTTCAAAACAAAAAAAAAATTTATGATGTTTGAAAAAAGTATTCAAATGATAACTAAATTGATTATATATTGATTTATATTAGCAAATGAAATCAATCGATTTATTGGTTGATTGATAACATTGACATTCAGGAATTGAATAATAATATTCCATATATCAAAGGTTTGTGAAAAAAGAAATTTTTTTCCAGAAGAAAACTACCTTTACTATTGTGCGTATTGTGAAAAAAACGAACGGATATTTGAAATTATGAAAAAAATTGACCCAGAAATTTTTTTTGGAATTTTTTTTTTGTTTTTTGTTATACATGGCAACGACATTTTATCAATCATATTAATTTGGATAGTTTGTTGACATTATGGAGCGACAAAATGGAGTACAACCAACAACAACAACAAAAAACTATCATAAAGCCTATACAGGAAATGGAGAAAAAAAATGTTACGGAAAACCAATAATTTTCCAATTAGTATAAATTAAAATGATCAATGTTTGATTAGAAGATATTATCATCAATGTTTTTCTTTTGGATAGGAAAATGCTGTTGCCAAATTGTTTGTCGATAATTTTACCATATTTGTTCATTAACATTATAAATGGACAAATTTTGGATAGATTTATAGATAATTTAGCTTGTCGTCGTACATCCAACAATGGAATTTATGGTGAATGTATGCCACGTAGATGTTGTCGATCATTATCAGCTGTTCGAAATTTATGTCTCACTTCATCTGATCATATTTGTTGTTATGGAGATGATATTTGTAATATGGATAGTGATTATAATCGAAGATTTCCGGTAGCATCAGCAGCAGCAGAATCGGCTATTATCCCTGTTGACAATGATTTTCTACCAAATCGTGGAAGTAAGTTATCAGTATTCAATTTTAATCGAATCATTGATCATTGATTGACTATAAAAAAAAATTATTAGTGAGAGACTATTGTAATCGATTTATGGTCACACGTGAAGATTGGGGAGCATTACCACCAATCAAACGTGCATATCGTATGCCAGTTCGTGTTGATTATGTTATCGTTCATCATACTGGTGATGATGATGATCGATGTTGGTCATTGGAACAATGTCGACAACGTCTTCGTCGTATGCAATCATATTATCAACATGAAAAACAATTTCCCGATATACCATGGAATTTTTTAATCAATAATCAAGGTGATATTTATGAAGGTGTTGGTTGGGATTCACAAGGTTATCATACTGAACAATGGAATGATCGTTCATTAGGTATTGCATTTATTGGTGATTATGATATTCAAACACCAAGTACACGGGCATTACGTGCTCTAACACATTTATTAGATTGTGGTGTTGAACAACGTGTACTTGATCAATTTTATCGTTTACGTGGTCATCGTGATATGCGAACAACTAATTGTCCAGGTGATTATCTATACGATGCATTAAGAAGAATTCGATCACAAACATCAGGATCAAGAAATCGTTTACAAATTGGAATCGTTAATCCAAACGATAATGATGATTATGATTCGGATGATGAAATATTATCACGTAGTGATATGAATAATACTCTTAGTAACAAAAATGTTTATAATAATCAATATTCTGATTTAAAAAATCAATCATTATCAAGCTAAATTTTAGTCTAAATTTTTTTAAAAAATAATTTTTTTTTATTATTATTTACAAATTAATTAAATCAATTTGAAGAATATCTAATGCAATTCGAATCCATTCAGGATAATCATTATAATTTTTACCAATATTATAATAAAGTGTATCAATAATAAATTGTTCAAATCGTTGTTCTTTAATTGCTAAACGAATCATTTCCATAAAACGCATCTGAAATCTTAGATTATGAACGGTTAATAATTGACAAGCGGTTGGATTTTTACTACGAAACAATCGACAAAGATAGCTTCGATTTAATGATAAACATGTAGAACAATCACAATCTTGATCAACTGGTGATTGATCTGTTAGGTAACGTTGATTAGATAGATTTAATTGTTTACCTAAACCGATTAATGCCGTACCGAATCTTGCAGTTCGTGTTGGATAAACACAATCAAATTGATCACATCCAAGTGCAACACATAACATCATATCGACAGCATATCCCACACCCATTAAATATCTGGGTTTTGAATCGGATAAATTTTCCGTACTAATAGCTACCATTTTGATAAAATCTTCTTTAGCTTCGCCACCGCTTAGACCACCGATTGCAATACCGGGTGGATCACGTGCAACAATCTCTCTAACCGATATTCGTCGAAATGATTCATCTAGACCACCTTGAATGATTGGATAAAGATTTTGTAATTTATCACGACCAGTTTGATGATGATATTTACGAGCACGATCATACCAACGAATCGAACGATATAATGCCTCTTCAAAACGTTTATCATCTTGTGCAACTGCTGAAACAACATCATCCAATTGCATTATAATGTTCGAACCAAGTTTATGTTGTATTTGCATACATCCTTCAGGTGATAGAAATATTTCACCTTCATTATAAGGTGATTCAAATCGAACACCATCTTCATTGATCGACATAAGTTTATTGAGCGAAACCATTTGAAAACCACCGGAATCAGTTAGAATAGCATGTGGCCAACGAATAAAACCATGACAACCACCATGACCAATTTCATTGACAATATCTTCACCGGGTTGTGAAGCTAAATGATATGTATTACATAACATTAAACGACAACCAATTTGTTCTAATTCAATGGGCATTACAGATTTCATTGCACCACTTGTACCAACGGGCATAAAAATTGGTGTTTCAATTTCAACATCTTTACCAAATTCACTGGTAGATTTTAAACGAAGATTACCGACACGTGCACGAGTTTTTTTACATTTAGCTATTACTTCAAAATATAATGGACAATCCATGAATCAAAGTTTATTAATTTACAAAAAAAATTCTTTCAAAGTTTAAAAACATTCGATTTTTTTTTATTGTCACGTGGTTTTCAAACATCAACGACATCTATCGTTAAAGATTCATTTTATCTGGGAAATTTCACAACAAAATAAAATGGGCGCGATATGATGATAATGATGATGATTGCAACTTGTTGAATTTACAGAACAAACAAAACAAAACAGAAAACAAGGTGATGACATATATTTACACAAACAAAGAAAAAAAAATTAATCATAATTCTCATGGAAACCTTTTTTTCCCAAGTGTTTTGATTACAAATATTGCAAAAAAAGAAAGAGAAAACGATCTTCATCATCATTAAAGTTGTTGCATAGCCAACCAAAATTATCAACTAAAAACAACAACAAAAAAAAACATTGTGATTATGATCACTTTCCAAAAGTAAAAAAAAACTGACTATATATTCTGAATTCGTTGAATTCAGTTGTTCTTTGATATCCACTTTCGATAACGTCAGCCAAAACAACTAATTTTGTTCGTGATTTTCGTTGCCAAAAAACAAAACATCCTGTATTTTTTGGACATCCTTTCAGCCAGAGTGAATAATAATAAACATATAGGACATTCATAACACCAGTGTAATGAAATAATCATCCGTCAAAAGCAACAACAAAAATGCATACTTGATTTTGTACACAAACATTTATCATTTTGAATGCATTTTACATTTCCATTTTAAACATTCATTCATTCATTTGTCAATCAATCAATCAATTGATCAACTTGTTTGCTTTCCAAAATTGAAATTTTTTCGTCTGAAGAAAAATCATTGTTTCCAACAAAAAAAAATCTAATTACTTTGGTATGTTTTTTAATTAAATTAAATGTTTGTTTGTTTTTTAAATAAAATTTAAACTTTTTCTACAGAAATTATTATTATTTTCTCGGTTTTTTGTCTACTATCATGGGTCTAACTCCAAACAACAATAAACAATTTGATCAAGGTCAATTGGAAGAAATATTTCAAATTTTCGATACAAAAGGTGATTATTGTATTGATATTGATCAAATTGGTGAAGTATTACGTGCAATGGGACAAAATCCAACCGAATCCGATATAAATCGTTGTTGTGAACCATTACGTTCACAACAAAAAGATCAACGTATAACATTCGAAATTTTTATGCCAATTTATCAACAAATCGCTAAAAATAAAGATCGTTATTCATTTGATGATATTGTTGAAGGTTTACGACATTTTGATACTGATGGATCCGGTACAATTGGTTCGGCTGATCTTCGTCATCTACTAACGGCATTAGGTGAAAAACTAACCGAAGATGAAGTTGAACAATTAATCGATTCAACAATGATCGATGATGAAGGACGAATCAATTATGAAACATTTGTTAAAGCTATTATGAATGGTTAACTTGAATTTGTTTCCTCTTAAAGTATACCTGCTGCCAATTTCTTTTTTTTATCATTCTTATTTTTTACCACAAGTTTTTTTATAAACCGATCACAATTGTTTTTCCAATAAAAAAACAAATCTATTGTTATTCAATGTTCTGAATTAATCGATGTTTTTCGCTTGTTCTTCTTCTTTCACTGGTCATTTACAATCGATCATGTTTGATGATGAATGATTCACCATATAACAAAATATGGTGAATGTAACAATTCAGAAGAAGGAAAAAAAGATGTCAAGAGATCTCACCATGGGAGAGAGAGTTTACCAGTCTTCGAACAATACAATACAACAACAACAATAAGATCATTATGTTTGTCTGTAAATTATTATTTATTTTTTTTAATACAATACTCATCAAAAACGTAGCATCGGATACAGATCTCCTTAAGTTAGCAGAACAGATAGCTGAATGTAATCCAGAATTAGAAGGCCTAGAAGATGATATGGAATATTTGTTCAAACTCAAATACAGTGATACTGCCAAACACATGANTACTATATTAATTTTATTTATAATTTGAATAAATTTTTCTGTTTAAAATCATATAATCCTTTTTTACATCAACAAGGATACTCTCACATGTTCTTTTTATTGTTTGTTGTTGAATGTAGGCCTGCAATTTCTCGTTTACTCCCAATTGGTTCATATATCGTTTAAAATGCCTGGTAACAAGTCCATCTCAAGTCAACACTAATGGGATTAGTGTGACATTTGCGCCAGGGTACATCAGTTTAAGTTCACCAGTATTATATATATATTTATATATATTTATCGATTAAATTATTCTTGCATTATTGTCAATAATTTCTATTTCATCATCTTAACGGGTATTTCTTGTTGTGCATCTAAAATAAAAAAGAAAAGGTTATTTTTTTTTTTTTTAAAAAAGAAACAAAACATACAAATTCAATGGAGATGATGAAACCCCAATAGATTCATTTTCATCATGATTAGAGGTATTTCTTGTTGTTCTTCTAAAATAAAAAAGAAAAGGTCATTTTTTTTAAAAAAAAAAGAAACAAAACATACGTTTGATTAATATAATCAAAATAATCGAGAACAATTTCAATGGTTGTTGTTAGGCTTTTTGATGATGTTTCATTGAAATAAAAAAAAATTATTATGTGTGAAAAAAACAAAACAAAACTGATTGTTGGACAACCATGACAGCAGAATTTTCTTCTGGTTGATTCATTGATGATGATGTTGATGATGACTGTTGGAAATCCATGCCAGCAGAATTTTCTTCTGGTTGATTCATTGATGATGATGTTTCGCTGAAATAAAAAAAAATTATTATGTGTGAAAAAAACAAAACAAAACTTACGATTGTTCAGAGAATTCACATTTATATTTGTAGCCATTTTCGAAATGACGAAACGACACAGAAGGAATACAATTTTAATTGAAAATAAGTAAATGAAAAGTAAGATAAATGTCGTCATGAATTACCATTTATTAAAAAATATTGGTTGAACATCCTGAAATATATTAATTCTGTTTTTGAAACGTCAAAATTCTTGATTTTTTTCTTTATTTGTGCACAAGTTATTGTTCTATTTTTCATAGCTATTTCAACCTCAAAATGAATGTTTGAGTAAAAATAGAACTATAAAAAAACGACTATTTATGTCGTTTCCTTTTATGAGCACACCATTTTCTCTGTGGATTCCATTTGTGTCGTTACATCATTTCCAAAATGGAAACCAATTCTTTTAGTAAAATTCATGGTAATGCTTATCACATTAATGGAACTCTTGATTAATTTCTTTTATTTAATTTTTAGGAGAAGATCGTCTTGAACTAATAAAATTAGTTCATGAAAAAAAATGTTATTTGGAATATAACTTTTTCAATAAAGCAGAATTTAAAAAAAAGAGACAAATTGTGGATCGAAATCGCCAAAGAAATGAAAATGAATAAAAAGTTTTTTATAATAAAAATAAATGATTTTAATAAAATTTATCTTTGAAAAATAGAAAATGTATTGAAACATGAATTATCCAATATGAAAAAATCGTATAAACGACATCTTAGGCGAAGGTTGAATAATCCATATCCAATCCAATTCTATATCCAGAATTGGAATTTTTAAAAATATCAAGATTGATTTAGAATCATTCTAGTTTTTTTTAATAATAATAATAATATTTATTTAATGTGCTCTATCCGTGGATATTTGCACTAATTAATAATAAGTAATAATAAAATAATAATGTAAATTAAAATAAAAGTATGTATTAAGTATGTTGTGTATTTACAGTATTATATTAGTTTGTGTTGTGTTTAATGATTTGTCTGTGTTGAAAGTTCTTTACACATTTTTGAAAATTTGTTGTATTGTTAACATTCTAGTTTTTGAAATGGATTAAAATTTATAAATAAATATTGTTTAATTTCAAAAAAACGTACATTTTCTTTGGTTTTTTTGGTATTTCTCTATCTAAGAAAGATAATTCTGGATGAATTCGTTTTAAATTTGGATTACGAAGTCTATTATTGATGTGTTTCATCTGAGCACCACGCATCTTTGTCCAATGTATTTTGCATATTTCAACTATAAAATTTTATTTGGTATAATAAATTTATTGAATTCATTTTTTTGGCAATTTTAAACCATGATTTTTGTATCATTTTTTTCTGGATCTTTGAGATATTTTAAATCTTTATAACATTTATAATGTTTTACCAACTTTATTAATTTTATTCTGTTTTCTTCTGTAAAAAAAGATATTAGAAAATCAAAATTTACAAACTTCGATTTACAAATTTTTCCAAAATAACCAATTCAAAATAAACTCAAAAAGGAAAAGGGAAATTGAGGTTAGTCAAGAAAGTAGTTCTTGATTTATATAAATCAAGAATGTTTGTTAATGTAATTAATTAATTGGATTGATCCTAATCCAATTCATAACATTATATTAAAATTAACTTACTAGTCCAATTTATTTCATTCGCGATTTTATGAACAAGCCCGAACTTCTTGTTCAGCAACATAAACTAATTTAATTAGTTTTAGCCAATCATTACCTAAAAATTAAATAAAAGAAATTAATCAAGAGTTCCATTAATGTGATCAGCATTACCGTGTATTTTACTATAAGAATTTGAAGCCATTTTCGAAATGACGAAACGACACCAATGGAATACACAGAGAAATTGATGTGCTCATAAAAGGAAACGACATAAATAGTCGTTTTTTTCTTTTTTTCACTATAGTTCTATTTTTACTCAAACATTCAATTTGAGGTAGAAATAGCTAAGACAAAATAAACATTTTTTTACTTGTGGAAAATTTGTAAAATCATTTGTGGATTTAGTTATCCGAGGAAACGCAGGGCCCTGATCAATAGTACAAATTTTACATGCGTGGCCTTTTTTTAAGTAATGATGCTGGTCCTTAACAAACTGCATTCGTTACGATGCATGAGCACTTNCCACATAGAAAAAGGTCTATTCTATTCTTATAAATTCAAAATGCAAGCCATCCATTTTTCGAGCATGCGCATTGAAATTGAAAAAAGTGTTTCGTCTCAGCCAGCCAGCCAGTGTTTTACTTTTTTATGTTATTGTGGATATTGTGGATGGATGGATAAACAAAACAAAAAAAAAGCATTTTATGCTGCTACCATCCATCGAGGATTTTATCAACTAAACAACAGAATGCACTATTTGATGATACACTTCCTTTTTTTCGTTTATTTAGATTCGAAATCACATTTGATTCGCAAGAAAAATTTCGAAATTGTTTTTTTTATAATCTTTCATCATAACGTATTCATCCGAACAAAATGGCATTTATTAAAATTTCTCTTTTGATAATACTTTTTCTTTTTGTGATTCAAGTAGATTTGTTGGATTTTGGAAAACATTCCTCAATACAAACTATACCATCATCATTGAAAATTAACTATGAATTTCCAAGCGAAAATATTGGAATAAATTTTCTAAAAATCAAAAAGAAAAAAGAAATGAATTCATCATTGGACAATTTTGACAAGCTTTACATGCTGATGAATAAAACCGAATCAATGTTAAATAATAGGCAACGTATGAAGTTTAAAAAGAATTCAAGAATATTATTAATCTTTATAACTGGATTAACATTATTCTTATTGATCTTTTATTATTATTATCGTAAATATTTTGAAAAACCAAAGGCTCAACAAGGAGAGATTCATATAATTATAATCGAAAACAATCATACATCGATTCCATGATTCTATTTTGATTTCGAACCTTTTGTTTCGTACATTCTAACAATTTTTATCCCCATTATGTAAATTACTCATCGATAATCCATTATTTTGCATAATTTTCACGTTTACAAAATTAATGAAAACTCTTTAATTTGAATACTTTTTTTCAAAATAAAAAAAAAATTTTGAAGCAAAAATAAAATCTAAGAAAAAGAATCGATATATCGATTGTGACAATCGTTTAGTCGTTGCTCGTTTTGTCCGCACCATATGATAGGTAAATATTTTTTTTTGAATTTATTTTTTTCAAAATTCAAAATATGATTACGGAATGTGAAATTAAATGTTATGCCAAAGGTTTGGCATATTTTACTATAGGTAAGTTTATCCTTCGATATTTGAAATTTTAATTCCTTTCAATATTCCATAAATTTAGGATTTTCTCTTCCATATCTAATATTATCGGTCAATTTGAAAAAGACGAATCCGAAATTATTTCGAAAACTTTTGATTATACCGACCATTATTGCATTTCATGGTCTTACCTATATTCCCAAAGATCTTGATAAATGTCGTGAACAACAGAAAAAAATGGTTAATAATAGTTGAAAGTTATTCATTCAATTTATTTGATAATTTATTATGTGAAAAATAAATTCATCAATTTAATCATAATAATCAACATGAGCAGCGTTAGCAAATTTATCTTCATGTAAAATTTGAAACAATTTATCTGCAGAATCTTCCGGCTTTAGTGGTATGATCTCTCGAAATTGTTCTTGAAGTGTAGATTCCTGTTGAAGTTGGCGAAACATTTCTGTATCCAATGGACCTGGTGCATAGTTTAATAATCGATATTTTGTTTTTGTTCTTTTCGAATCATTATTGGCTGTTAATTCATTTGATAATTGCTTGAAATAAGCTTCTCTTGCCGCTTTTCCTACACAATAATCCAACATTCCTGACATTGGTTGAATGGCAGCCAATGATGATACATTAATTATATGGCAATGGGATACGTTTGGTTTAGTTTCGATATGACGAAGAAAAATACCGGTCATTTCCATAACTGAATAAAGATTCAAACGATAATATGCATTACGTTTATCAGCATCATTGACATTGACTGTTTTGCATAATTCAGTTGCTTTTCCAATCGATCCAGCATTATGAATCAATATATAATGATCATACGGTCTAGATAGATTATTTTGATTTCGTTCAAATTCCTGGCTTATATCATCGATTGCTTTTGTTTCGGCAAGATCGGTTATTATTTTTGATATATTAATTCTTGAATCAATTGATCGAAGTTCATTTGCAAGCGAATCAATTTCATTTACATTACGTGCAATTAATATAAATTTTATAATCGATTCTTTATCATCTGTAAATTGATCGGAAAATTGATTGGCAAATTTTTTAGCCAAAATACGACCAAATCCTTTACTAGCACCGGTTATTATCAAACAACAACGGTTTGATCGAAAAATGGAATGACTTTTTGACGACATTGTTATTGAAATATGGTCATCTGGTCATTCGAATGAGCATCATTTGATGCACAAAAAAAATTTCAACTATTCTGCATCATTTAGCATCATTTTTTTCCTATTTCTACTCGAACATCTCGATCCATTTGAAAAAGTACGAAAAGAAAAAATCAAAGAATTTCCATTTTTGTTTTGTACCTATGAAAAATGTTTCCATTATGTGCCATCATGTTGTTTTGATCGATTTCAATTTTTGTAAAAATGATTTGAACAAAAAAAACTAATGATAATTATGGGTTTATCGTCGTATGATCGATTTTGTCAATTGATTCGAACGAAAGGATAAATTATTGATTTCCGAATAAGAGAAAAAAAGACAAATATCATATCATCGATCATAAACGTGATCAAATCAATTTATTTTTACTGAATGAATCAGATTTCATGAAATCAAATCAATCGATTATTGCCAAATTGGGAAAAAGAAATTTTTTTTGATGACCGAAATTACGATCGATCGAATAATGTTTGTATAATAACCCATGATGATGATGATGGCTTCTGTTGATGGCAAAATACCAAATATGATCATATTGATCACATGATATTAATATGATTACGACCTTTGGTATTACGATTTGTTAATATTTGTTTTTGTTTTGTTTACAAAAAAGAGATGGGGAAAACAAAATATTTAAACATCTGATTGAAATTTTTACAATTTTCATTTTGGCCTTGTTGTTTTTTTTTGTTTTGTTTTCATTCATTCGAAAATGAACAAAAAAAAACAAAGATCCGTCTCATCCTAACTGTAATTAGATTAATTTGGAGTGGATTGACAGTTATGATATGATTCATGGCAATGCATGTCAATTTTGAAGCAAAAAAAAAAATCACGGTTCCTGACAATTTGTGGAAGAAACTGTGTCCACATTTATCATTTTTTTCCATTGTTCTCATATCCATTCATATGGTATTTTGGTTGTATTCATTCAAAATTAAATTGACGGAAATCAAATCAAAAATCTAATCAAAAATATATGCCGGAGATAATATTCGTTTGTTCATTTCTATCATCTTATCACTGCCATTATTGCATGTATTCATTCCATTTTTTTTCTTCTATAAATGTATGCAAATAAATTTGATAAGAAGAAGGAAAAAAATACAATTTGATCATGATGATGCCATCATCATATTCAAAAAAAAAAAAAAAATGTTTAGATAATTGTCTATAGGGTGTGTGGTTTTTTCGTCATAATCCTCACTACTACTGTTGTGATATAATCATCTTTATTTGGAAATTTTCTTTTCCATTTATTCAACGTTGTCGTTTTATTTTTCAACGTTTCTGTTGTTGATTATCATGTAAGGATGTACGAACCAAAAAAAAAAAAAATCATTCGATTTGCAATGAATTTTTTTGCCATTCAACGAATACCCTTCTGATTTTTTTTTTTTTTTGGTTCCCTCTTTGATTTTTGATTTGAACCTCGCCTCCCAATTTGATATGATATAATTGGCAGATAAAATTTTCGGCCAAAAAAAAATGTTGTATTTAAAGTTGAACTAAAAACAAAAAGTTTCCCGTGATTATTTTGTGTATTTGTGAATGATTCTTATTCTAATTAAAAAATAGCAAACGAAAAAATCCGAATAGAAACATTAATCATTCGTGGAAAGATTTTCTTGTCAATTATTTCTTGAAATTTTTTCTTTGTTTTGTCATTTTTGTTTTGTTTCTCCAGTGATCATATTGCCTCGTGGAATCGTTATTTTTTTCCCCTTATCAAAGTTGAAAATCTGTATTGTTTTTTTTCTGGTGATCTTTCTGGTGTTTTCTTGAGAATCATCATCAACATTATCAACAAATCTTCAAACGAAAAACTTTTCTTCGTAGAAAACAAAAGAAATTGTTTTTATCAACAAGAAATAATTATTCAAGAGAAAGAATCCATTCTTTTTTTTGCCATAAATCTTGTATTGTCATAACATTTGGTCAAGAGAAAAAAAGATGCCCGAAAATCAGACAATCATTCAACAATGTAACAATTGTGATTTAGATAATGATAATAATTTAAAAAATAAATGCTGTAATCGTTCAGATACAAATAATAATGATATTTTACCCATGAATAATAATGATAATAAATGTTGCCGAAATGGAATGATAAAAAATTGTTGTTCATTGAATGGAATGAAACAACAACAACAACAACAACAACAATTTAAACCGGTAACACATGTTATTTTTGATTTGGATGGTTTATTAATTAATAGTGAAGTTTGTTTTGCTAATGCTATACGTATATTATTGAAACGTTTTGGTAAGTTTGATTTTGGTGGATGATGATCAATTATGTTTTTTATTTATAATTTTTTATTTATAATTTATATAGGTATCAATGAATATAGTAAAGAATTACAAGAAAAAGTTCTTGGTATGGAAGTTGCACGTGGTATTGAGGAGATAATCAAACAAACAAATTTACCATTAACTGTTGAACAATTTATGGAAATGGAAAGAGAAATTTATACAGATGAAATGTTAAAAGTAAAATTAATGCCCGGTGCTAAACGTTTAGTTGAACATCTAAAAAAACATAATATACCAATGGCAATTGCAACAGGTAGTACAAATCAATCGTTTGTAATAAAAACACGTGCACATCAAGATCTATTTGGTGATGGAAAATATTTTCATCATATTGTTTTTACACGTGATGATGAAGAAGTAAAAAATCCAAAACCAGCACCAGATGTTTATTTGATAACGGCAAGTCGTTTTCCTGACCGACCAAAACCCGAACAATGTCTTGTATTGGAAGATTCATCAATCGGTGTTGATGGTGCACGTGCAGCTGGTATGCAATGTGTTATGGTACCTGATCAACGTTTTGAATGTAAACAACAGAATGCAACTATAATATTAAAATCATTGGAAGATTTTCAACCAGAATTATTTGGATTACCACCATTTGATGATTAATTGAATTTTAATGAACACAATGAATGCACGATGTAAATTATTTTTTATTAACAAACAAACAAACAAAAAAATCTAGATCTTTTAAATTATTCTTATATAACAATTTTTTTGAATTGAATATTGACACTGAATCTTTTTTTTCATATTTTTTGCTTTATTTGAATTTTTCTTTTGAAAAAAAATTATTATTATTATTTACCAAATTATCTATTTAGTGATATATAATGTTTTGAATGTGACCGAAAAAAAAAATATAAATTCTTTTGATTATTATAAGTTGAATGTGAATTTTGTATTTGTAATTTTTTATTTTTTGGTAAAATATAAAGAACACGAATCGAATAAGTAGTATTAGACAAATATTTAATGATTAATTGTGTGCTTAAGTGTGTGTGTGTTTACGTATACTTATACAGCATTTATCAATTACAGACAATACTTTATCATTTATTTTGGGACAAATTAATTTCCAACATTCATTCATTTTCCCCCCTTTAAAACATTATCGAATAGTTTTTTTTTGTGAATGAGAATTTTTTCTATATAAAAAAGCTGTAGAAAGAAGAAGAAGAAGAATAAAAAAGCTCTGAAAATTGTGAAGATCGTGGATCAATATAATTAGGTGAGGTGTATGTTATTTTGATGTGTGATGGAAAAAATGAATTGTGTTAATGTGAGATCATCTCGTGTGTAGAAAAAAGAACCAAAAAAAAAATGAATGTTTTTTCTATTTATTCGTTGATGATAAAGGCAAAATAAACAGTTTTTCGACTGATTTCACTGAAAATTGTTCAAATCGATCAAATTGCTTAGATTTTTTTTGGTGTTATAATGAAATTCTTTTCTTCTTCTTCGTTTTTTTTTTGAAACAAAACAACATCATATGTTGAGATCAAATTTGATTTTTTTTTAAATTTCATTTAAGTGGATTGAACGTTATATACGTTATTCCTCTGTGTGTGTTTATCATATATTCACTTTGATTGATTATTGGCAATTATGATTTTTTTTTTGTTTTTTGTTTCGAAAATCAGGTACATAATTTAACAGAATTTGCAGAATCAGCCATTGCAGCAGCAACAGCAGCAGCAGCTGCAGCTGCAGCCGCTGCTGCTTGTTGATGATGATGATGTTGTTGTTGTTGTTGATTATGATGTGATGATGATGATGATGATCCGGATAAATGATGTAGATGATTATTATGATTATGATTATGATTATTATTATTATTTGATGATGAATAACCGGATGATGAAGATGATGAACCACCAGATGAAGAATTTAAATGATGATGATTTAAATGATTCAAATGATGATGATGATATGGTCCTAATTTATTACTATTGCCACCACCATTACTATTCAATGATGATGTTGATGAATTATTGCTACTGCTATTAGCATTACCATTTCCATGATGTTGTTGTTGTTGTTGTCCGGGTTGATGATGTTGACCACTGCCATGATGTTGATGTGAATTATGATGTTGTTGTTGTTGTTGATGATGATGATGATTATTATTGCTATTATTATTATTATGATTCATTAGATGAAATACACCGGTTGAATTATTATGATGATGTGATTGTAAACTACCGGTTGAACAACCATTCTGTATACCAGTTGTTCCAATACAATTTGTTCCATTATTAACAACAGCAGATGCTAATGATCCAAGTGTACCACCAATTGCACCGGTAACTGATAATCCTAATGAACTTAATGCTGCTGAACTAGCTGAATTTTGTTTTGGTTTACGTTTTCTAGTTTGTATTCCTTCTTTTCTCATTGCTAATGGTCGATTTACCTTTTGAATCAAAATGAAATTTAAAAAAAAAACATTAAAATAAGTTCATAAAATCATCAACAACAACAGCAAAAAATATATATTAAACTTACATTATGTAATTTATAATAAAGACCACATGCATTACAAACTGGTTCACCTTCATTATTACGTCTCCATAATGTTGTTGTTGTTGTACCACAATTAGAGCAACAAAGTCCTAAACGTCTTGATGCAGCCTAATATTTTCGTACATCATTGAAATAGATTTGAAAAAAAAATTGATTAATATTTTCATTTTAATATTCAATGACAGAAAAACTTTCAATCAATCAATCGAATTGACAGTTTTAAATAGTTTAACTCTTTTTTACTTATTCGGTAAGCTTTCATTATCTTAATTGCTTTTTTTTCGCCCCTTGCATATTGCAAAGAATTTTTTTTTTGTTTTTTTGAATGTCTCAATTCAGTCACTTATTAATCATGAGTATAAAAAAACAAATTCATCATCATAATGACCATAATCATCATCATCATCATCAATGATGAATAAATTAATTTTTTTTCCCATGAATAATTCTTAATCATTTGGAATTAATGTTCAAATGAAAACTTCATCGAAGACGATTCTTGCCTGTCTGCCTGCTTAATCTTGGAAAAAATACGAATATTTTCATTGAAATTTTTCCCTAAGGGCGAATAAAGGATTCCTAATTACTTTTTTAATATTAAACGACAATCATAATCGATCTTTTCTAGTGAATAGATTTTAATGATGTTTGAACTACTTTTTGGTTGTTGTTTTTTTGTTTTTTATTCACTTATTCGTTGAAAAAAATAGCATCAGAAAAAATAAGACATTAATGATTTACTTTAAGAAAAAAAGTATTAAATATCAAAAAAAAGGAGAAAAAAAATAGCTTACCAAACGACGTTGTGGCTTGATCAATGGCCGTCTGGCGCCATTCATTTTATGATAAAGTCCACATGCATTACATAGATAATGACCGGTACCATCACGGCGCCATAATGGCGTTGATATTGCTCCACAATTTACACATTCACGTCCTTCACTAAAATGAGCTGCATATGCTGCTTGTCCAGCTGCTGCTGCAGCAGCAGCCGCTGCTAAACCACCGGGCATATTACAACCACCACCATTTCCATGTATGCCCATACCATTATCACCAACAACAGTTCCAATTAATCCTTGATTACCGGTAGATCCGGACATACTAAGATCGGTCATATTAATTGATCCTTGATGATGATGATGATTATGATTTTGAGATGGATGATGTCCTTGATGATGATGTTGTTGCTGTTGTTGTTGATGATGATGAAGATGATGATGTGGTTGTTGTGTATTATGACTATTTAATTGTCCGGATGCAGCTGCTGCTGCTGCTGCCGCAGCATGATCAGCTACGGAAACGGTAGCTGAACCTGTTGTTGGTGAATTAGCTGCGGAAGCTGCAGCGGCAGCAGCAGCAGCAGCCGCGGCTGCTGCTGCTGGTGAACCAAAAAAGAAATCCAATCCATTCGTATGATTGTTATGATTATCTATAAATTTCCAATGTGAAAAATAAGACGAGACAAAAAAAAATGTGAGACTAATTTGTCTTCGCGACTGTCTGTCTTTTTTTTGTTGTTTTGTTTTGTTCTTGTTTTTGACTGTCGATCATTCGAACACACACATACATACATAAAAGTAAGAAAGAATTGACAAACAAGATCAAGATTGATTAGCAAATAATTGATTGTGATAACAAAATCAAATGATCAAATGACAGATTTGAAAGTGATTGAATGACTGACTGACTGACTGAGTGACTGACTGAGTGATTCACTTACTAACTTGAATGAATGAATGGAAAATTCTGATATAATCTTTAAAAAAAATATATTTCTTTGGTTCAGCTAAATAATCCTTTTACATTTCTGATAAGTGGAAAGCAGAAAAACAAAACAAGAAGCGCTATTATTTCCAAATACGGTCATTACAATCAATTAATTAATTTGAAATGCAACAGGAAAAAAAACGGAAAATTCTTGGGAAAAAATCCTGATGATAATCCTATCAAAATGTATTGAATGTTTATTTTTGATTTAATCTTAATTATAATTTAATTAATTAGAAACAAAACAAACAAACAAAATCCCAAATGAAGAAAAATGTCTAGAAGAATCGACCAAACAATTGTCCAAAGTTTCATTGTCGTAATGAATTTTGTGTTTGTTTGTCAAATTGCTTATCATCATCATAATTAATATTTCAATCGAGGTTTTCTCCTTTTCCATTTTTTTCTTTAACATTTCAATGATTTATGATGATGATTATTATGACCATCATCATTATGTTATTGTTTTTTTAGTCAAGTCAAACTAAATAACTAACTAAAACAAAACGAAACGAAATACAGAGAGATAATTGTTTTCGGATCTTTTAATTGTTTTTCTGTCATTTTTTAATAGATTTTTTTTTTGTTCGTTTGTCAAACAACCCAAACGAATGAATGGTCTCATCTCATTCTGAATGATGGATTCAAAAATCATTAACATAAAGAAAATATTCATTATAGAGAAAGAAGAATGGAGAAAAAAAAGACAATAACCATTCTCACAATGTGTATGAATTTCAATTCACTAGAAACCCACCATTTTCTCCATTTTAACATAACATTATTATTCATTTCTACAGAATCATTATGTTTGGTTCAAACAGAACAAACAGAGAAGCGAAGCTCAATTAATTTTCATTGTATTACCATCATTAATAAATGAATGAATGATTAAAACGAAAAGAAAGATGAACTAACCTCTCTCTCTCTCTCGCCTTCTCTGAATTTTCATTTGTTTTATTCAGTTTAATATTATAGGTCTAGATTCGTTTTTCATCATTTGGTTGTTCTATCTATATCTTTCTGCCAAACATGATGATGGTTTTTTCTAAATTTATTTTATTTTTTTTTGCTTGTTTGTTTGTCGGACAAAACCCCTTTCGTTTGATTGGATGGTTTGCAGCCAGCAATAAAGAAAAATCATTAAGAAAATTGATTCATGTTTATTACCATCATCATCATGATAATGATGATGATGATGATTGATTGTTGAATAATGGAAAAAGAAAAAAATCCTTCCCATAGTCAGTCTTAGTCAAAATATAATTAACTCTTTCATTCAGTCAATTTTTAAATTGAGCCAAGCCTTTTTTTTATTGTTTGTTAAATAATGATAATTGCAATGTAAGTGTGTCGGTAAACACTTACATTGCAATTATCATTTGTGTGTTTGTATCAGTAAACAAAAAAAAAATAAAAAAAATAAAGACTTACCCGATCTACGGAATGCTGCCGCTTGACTAGCTGCTAAACCGGCCGGAAATCCAGCCGCTGTTGTTGTTGTATGATGATCAGTTAAACGTCCTGCTAATGATGATGGTACTGAATGTTCTAGCCTACCGGCCCATGCACATGCAGCAGCAGCTGCTGCTGCAGCTTCATATGATGCGGCAGCATATGCCGGATGTAAACCATTCATTGTTGCTGAACGAAATGTTGATGCATAAGAATTAGCAGCTGCAGCTGCTGCTAATGCAGCACTTGATGCTGTTGTAGGAGGATCATTTGCTATTGTTGATGAAGAGGATGATGATGATAATGTTCCATTACCATTACCACCACCATTAGAAGATGTAGATCCTGATTGTAAATTTGATCTTTGTTGTTGAGAATTTGTTGTTTGGCCACCAGTAGGACTTGGCGATGAAGCAGTTATCGAACAAGATGATGATGATGATGATACATTCTATTAGTTTATGTTATTGAACAGAATAATGATGAAAATGATAATCAATACAATTTCAACAAAAACAAAAACAAAAAACAAACCTGAAAAGGAAATCTTGTTGAACCAAATGGTGATATATTATTGCTTGAATTATTATTTGCATTATTAAAATGTTGAGAATTTTGAAATGATGATGTTGCTGCTGTTGTTGTTGTTGCTGTTGTTGATGATGATGATGATGATGATGATGATTGACTTCCATTTACATTACCATTCATTAATGGTAAAGAATTTGTTGTTGTTGGTGTTGTTGTTGGTTTACGATCTTCTTCACTATCAACAATTGTTGTTGCACCATCACTATTATTATTATTATTATTATTTCCATTATCATTATTACTTTGATTAGATATTGTTGATGTTGTTGTAACCGATGACCATGATGATGATGCTGAATTTGGTGCACTTTGTTGTTGTTGTTGTTGTTGATCGGTTGTATCATTATTATTATTATTATTATTATGTTCAGGTGATGATGAAATTGAACCATATTGTGTACGTGCCGCATACATTGATGATAATGGATGATTATGATATGCAGCAGCGGCAGCCGCTGCTGCTGTTAAATCAACTTGATGTACTGCGGCAGCTGCAACTGCTGCATGATGATGATGATGTGCTGCCATTGTTGTTGCATGATGATGTGTATGATGATTATGATGATGATTTTGACCACCACCACTGGCCGTATAATGGCCAGATATTAAATTCTGAAACATTGATCCTGTTATAGAAGTTTGATCCAATCCAGTTTCCAATGATAATGATGATTGACTTTTTGCTGCTATTCGTAAATGATTATTAAGAATAAAATTTTTATCACCTTCGTTTTTATCGATAAATGTTGAATATAAATTATTATTATTTATGGCCTGTTGTTGTTGTCTTAGTCGATCTTTTGAATTATCTTGATCGTTATTATTATTATTATTGGTATCTAAATCGTCTTTATCAATCAATTCTTTTTTCGGTTCAACAAGAATAATTGATGATCCACTGGAAATTTGTTGATAATTTAAATGATTATTATTCAGTTGTCGATTATTATCATCATTGTTGTTGTTGGTAAATGCTAAATCATTTGTATTATAATGTTGTTGCTGTTCATCAGTTTGATTATTATCATCATTATTATCTTGATGATTATAATTTAAATTTGTATAAATCTGCGGACGTTGATGATTATGATGATAAAGATGATTAAATGGATGTTGTTGCTGAATACGTTGATATGATAATGGTAACAGATTGTCTAGAATTTTATTATTATTCTGTTGATTTGTATCTAATTCTGTTGCTGTTGTTGTTGTTGTTGTATTGATTGATGATGCTGTTTCATATTGTTGTTGTTGTTGTGAATTAAATTGATGATGTGCTTGTAATTTATTATTATTATTATAATTTGATAAATGTGTATAAGAATCCTGATCCTGATTATTTTGATGATCAATCGATGTTGTTTGATTTGATGTTCCGTTATCAATTTCTGTTTTTGAAGAAAGAATTTTTTCAATAAAAAAATTAGTTAAAAATTAGTAATTTCCTAATGATATTTATCAATTTACAAATATAAGATGGCTAATACTGTATACTGTTAGAACAAAATCATTGGTTATTGGATATTATCATCATCATTACCAAAAATCAATGCCAATGATGATAATGTTGGTGGTGGTAGTGGACGTGTTGGTGGTATCATTATTGTTATTGTTCAAAAAGTAATTGTTTTTTTTTTATCAATTAATAACGGTTAAAATTTTTAAAAATAGATCAAATTTGGTTGGATGGAATTTTTTAAAGAAAATAAACGTAAAAAACGTATTTTTACCGAAATTTTAGAAAACCCAAACAAAAATAGAAAAGATTATCAAATAAGATTTTAATCTTGAAGATCAAACACCAACTACACACACACACACACACTTGTCATAAATAGAAAGGGAAATTTTCTTATTCAAACGAAACAGAATTTACACTTAATTGATGATAATAATAATAATAAAAATTATCGATATCAGTATTTACAAACAAGATAAGATGATGACTGACTTGAAATGATGATGAAGATCATAAAACGAAATTCATTCATTCATTCAGAAATAGATTAAACCTCATAACATGATGGTGGTGGTCAAAATATGATGATAAGATTTTTTGTTTTTAAAGTTTTTTGATGATAATATCAAATTTTGGAGACGAATGAATGAATGAATGAATATCAGTAATCAATTGAACATCAACCATAGATATGATATGATAGAATTATCAAATGTTTGCCTTGTATTCACTTAGGTTTGGCTTTGGAAATTATTTGGGAAACATACATTGGAGAAAACTATTATGATGATATGGATGATGATAAACCGGGCCTAGCCACGACCACCAACATAACCAAGTGTTGCCCAAGGTGTGTGTATATTTGTCTGTGTGCTTGTTGTGAGTAAAATCATCCCTGCCTTTGTATATTTTCAACCAAGCAAGTAAGAAATTTTCTTTTTTCTTCGAAAAGTTTCTTTTTTTTCAGAAAAAAGTTTAAAAATATAACCAAAAGACGACGGAAAAGATTTTTGCTAGTTTGAATCCCGCCCATCCAAAAAGTTGGTTGAAAAAAAATAACTAATACTCCTCCCAGTTTTTTTTTATTTTGTTTTGCCTCCTTATTTCTTGTTTGTTTGTTTGATGATGACGATTATTTAAAAGGTCAAACTAGTTTATAAATTCTAAGAGAATTTTGGACAACAATGACCTAAAATGAAATGTTATGTAACCAAAGAACCGATCGACCGACAAACAAACAAACAAACACAGGAATATTGGACCCAAATATTGTGTTTGTTGGCAATAAAACAAACGATGACTTCTCCCTTGTTGGCTGTTGGCGGTAATGAAGTTTGTTTTGGTTTTGTTTCAAAAAAAAAACAAATCAACGGGCTAAAAACGCCTTGAATTTTCGAGATTAGTTTTTCTGATTCATGATTTTTCATCATCAGTTTTACATTTCGATAATATTCAACCAATCAATCAATTTAAAGACGAAAATAATTTCATTTTTTCCCATTTGTTTTCCCAGTTCTATCATTTTTTCTATAACATTTCTATAAACATTATTCATTCAAGTGTGAATATCAATTTCATTCAATCGAAACAGAAAAACAGAAAAAAAACGTAATAATAAATGTCAACCATACGGTTGCCGGTAATAATTATTACGACGTCGACGACAACGATGATGATGATGATGATTAGTGAATTGGTGCTATTTAAAAAACAAAAAAAAACAGCCAAAAAAAGCAGAAAATTAAGCAAAAGAAAAATATACAATGAAATTCTATGAGTGAAGCAACCAACTTTTCATATGTCATTGTTTTCGTTGTTGTTGTTCGTTTGTTTGTGTGTGTAGGTGTGTTTAAGTTCCAGGATTGCGTGTGTGTGTGTTTCAATTCTATTTGAATTCTGTACACACACACACACGCAACTAGGAACTTTGGTTCTTATCACCACCCAAAATACCCGGACAATAATATTGTTGTTGATGATGATGATGATGATTTTCAATTAAACTAAAATGAATCGTGATCATAATTATGATCAACAATTAGAAAAACCTTTAATCTTTATTTCAATGGAAAAAACCTCAAAATTTTTTCCTTGAAATCAAAAGTTACCTGAAAGAAAAACAAAAATATATTACCTGTCAATATCGATTACTATCATCATTATCACTGGAGTTAGTTTGGGGAGAAAGGGAATTTTCAACAGTAGTAGTTTTTTTCAGTCAAATTTTTCAAGTTGCCCGAATATAAATCATCAAGATGTGTGATGAAAAGCATTTGACAACAATTGACGCGACAATTTGAAAATTTATTTCATAAAACAACCAAACAAAAAATGAATAACCTAAATAGATGGCTACCAAAGATTAGAACAACCAACCACCACTATCGATTTGAACCATTATCAGGATAATAATGATAATAATTATATCGATAATCAGGATAATATTTAGTGTAAGGTAATTCAATTAATTGTTTTTTTTAAAGAAATATATGTTTACAAACAGCAAATCTAATATATAGGACATCTCATCAATAAATCTTGAAACAATGACCAAATTATCATCAAATCAATGATGATAATGATAGTCATCAACAGAAAAAAAACACAGAAGCAGATAAAAAAAACAGAAGTTTTAAAATTTTTTTCAAAAAAAGAAAAAGAAACGTGTGTTGATTGCTCTCATTACCTCATGCTGGCTGCTATTTTGTTTTTGTTTTTGTTTGTTTTTTATATTCTGTGTATTCGGTGTATTCGGTGAAATAGTAAAAAAATGTCAAGTTCTGCAAAAAAACTAAAAGTCAATAGTGTAATGAATGAATGAATGGGAAAAAAAATATTGTCAAATGAAAAAAATAGATAGATAATGTGTGTGTGAGGTGAGGTGAGGTGGGGGTGAAAACCCAGAGAGAGAGAGAGAGAGAGAGAGAGAGAGAGAGAGAGAGATTTTTTTCACATTAGCCATTCAATGACTTTGATGATGTCGACTAATAACGAATGATAATGATGATGATGATGATAATGATAATGATAATGAGAGGTATCATCATCATCATGGTAGAATGATTCTAGGGGGATTTTATTTTTTGTGATCTAACTTATGGATGTTTTTTTTTNTGTGTGTGTGAGGTGAGGTGGGGTGGGGGTGAAAACCCAGAGAGAGAGAGAGAGAGAGAGAGAGAGAGAGAGAGATTTTTTTCACATTAGCCATTCAATGACTTTGATGATGTCGACTAATAACGAATGATAATGATGATGATGATGATAATGATAATGAGAGGTATCATCATCATCATGGTAGAATGATTTTCTTTTATTTTTCTGTGATCTAACTTATGGATGTTTTTTTTTTGTCTGTGAGTAGGTAGTTAGGTAGGTAGATTGTTTTTTCATTTTATATTTTTCCGCAAAAAACGAAACAACCAACCAGACAAATTTTGTCAAAAAAATATTGTCCAAAGAAAGAAACAGGAATATTTTCTTTTTTTTTGGCAAAGTGAAAAAAAACGACAAAGTCGACGATGTTGATGATGATGATGACAACGATGAAGACGACGGCGACGATGGCCATTGCCAAAATAGCCGACGATGACGATTGCGATAAAAAAAACGAAAGAAGAAGACAAATGTAGATTTAATTTACTGCCGCTTTTTTTTTCTTCACAAATATTTTTCTGTATGTACGTAATCTGCATATATCTACTGAAGAAAAATATACAGAAGTAATTTGAATTTGTGATGGATGAAATGAAATTAAATCCAAAAAAGATGGAAAAAAAAACATTTTCAGTTTCTTCGACAACAAGAAAAGAATGAAGAGAGAGGCCATAGATGCAGCTGGCTACCTGGCTTTATTTTTTGGTTGGCTGAAAAATAATGACAAATGATGTACAATAGATTCATTCATTCATTCAAAAAACTATAAACATTAATTAATGATCATCATTAATTTTTCAAAATGCAAAAAAAAAACTGTTGCTGTTGTTTTTCCGTGAATAATAATAATTAACATCAGCAGCGGAAAAAAATACTGAAAATTTTTGGCGCCATATTTTATTTCAAAAAAAAAAATAATTTTCTCTCTCTTTTTCACTTGTTTATCTTCAAACGAACGAAATTGTCAACCAAAACTAACGAAAAATGATGATAACTTTAAATTCAAAAAAAAAAATTATTATCATCATCATTATCACTGGCCTAATTTCTTCGTTTTCTCAATGTAAATATCTAATCGTATCTTGATCATCATCATCATCATTTGATCAAAAGTGAGAGTTCATTTCAATGAAGAAATTCTGTACAAAAAATTTTTTTTCTTCAATTTTGATGTTAAATCTGATATGTGAATATACACCGGGGCAATGGCAAATAGGTATAAATTGTCAAATGTTTCTTCTTCTTCTGTGTGTGTGTGTGTGTGTCTAATGTTGTTTCATTTTTTTTTTTGGTT